TTTGCAACTTTTTGAGAAAGCGCCACAATGCTTTCCACAGTGGTTGTACCATTTTACACTCCCACCAACAGTGAATCAGGTTCCCAGTCTCTATGAAATTGCACTGCTAACCTAAGAATCTTTTTCAAAGGGGATGATGTAATGCAGAACTTCTAATTTTCCTGGGCTCTAGACTTTCTGTAGTTACCGAGGGTGAATCAACTCACTGAATTATTTCCTGAGATAATTTTTAAACATGAAACCAAACATGTTTCTTTAATTCATCTTAAAAACAAACAAAAAACCCCAACACAATAATTTAGCTTAACTAATGACAATTTCCACCTTAAAACAGCATTATGCTCTTTAAAGATCTATACTAGATCAAACTGACAACAGAAACAAGAAAAATTAGACATAAAACTTAAAGAGAAGTGAGTTTATGTTAATAAGGGAGGAATAATACAGAAAAGAAAGTGAGAATGAGTGTAAAACTCATATATATAATCAATGCCAGCAAACTGTACATACAGACACTGTTAAATGCACGGAGCTCTAGCGGCATATTGTTGTTGTTCAGTGCCATCAAGTTGAGTATGACTCATAGCAACCTAATGAACAACAGATGTGAACCCTGTCCTATCCTGTGCCATCCTTATCAGTCTCAACTAGTTGAGCCCATTATTGCAGATACTATATTGGATCCGTTTCATTGAGGGTCTTACTCTCTTTCACTGACCCTCTACTTTTCTAAGCATGGCATCCCTTTCTAAGCAATTCTAGCAACATGTCCAAAACATGTAAGGAAGATTCATCATCCTGCTCTCAAAAGAGCAAGATGGCCACACTTTATCCAATACATAGCTGTTTGTTTTTTTTTTACAGTACGTGCTAGAGCTGGAGTTGGAGAATTAAAAAGGAAGAACTCACTCAGAATTTCTGGCATTTGGAAAAATTAAAAACAAATTCAAGCCTCAAGTTGCAATACTGAGAGGCACTACAGAGAAAATCTTGAATAACCCAGGTCACATCAAAAGAAGATACAGGGAATACACAGAGTCACTGTACAAAAAAGAATTGTTCAACACTGAAAAATTTCTGGGAGCAGCATATGATAAAGAGCCAGTGATGATAAAGGAAGACGTTCAAGCTGCACTGCAGGCATTGACAAAAAATAAGGTCCCAGGAATTGATGAGATACCAACTGGCATGTTACAAATAACAGATGTAACTCTGGGCATCTTACCAGTGCTGGGAAATTTGGAAGACAGCTTCCTGACCAACTGACTAGAAGAGATTCATATTCGTTCCATTTTCCAAGAAAGGTGATGCAACAGAATGTGGAAATTATCAAACAATATTATTAATATCACAAGCAAGCAAAGGCATTTGACTGTGTAGATCATAACAAACTGTGGCTGACTCTGAGAAGAATGGGAATCCCAGAACACTTGATCGTTCTAATGCGAAACTT